GACGTTGGCTGGTATGATAGCTATCCGGGCTGGTTTCGGAACAAATGATCTGGTTTAAGTGCAGGTCTTTGTTTAAATCTTGGCTCCGTCTTCTCTCAGTGGAAGTAGACAGGACTCTCACTTTGACATTTACCCTCACTGGAATTTGTGGTTATAGACCAAATAACATTCTAATGTGCTGTGACATCGAGTATCGGTTCTATACAGTTTTAGGACATAAGAGCTGTATTATGAAGAGGTGAACAGCTTTATCAGACAAAATTGCTTTTACTATAAATAAGACCATTGAAGCTGTCATTAACCTGCTTGAATTGCTGTTAACACCACTATGAACAGAGATAAGCATGCTAAGCACTCCCATCCATACGTGTAAACAAAACCTAAATAAGACTGGTCCAAACTCAAGAGCACTCTAAAGAGCTTGATTTTAAATTGAAACTCACATTACATACGGTCCGCAACAGCTTGCATTAAGCAGACCAGCCTTAATATCTGGTGATTTCCCAGCAATGCCATCCTGTGATGGGCCGGCGACTGCTGGCTATATGAGTGTGTGGCAAGTGAGCTGTGTTTCAAAATGCCAAAGATACGGGAGATAAACTGTCAGATCTGTTAGCGGCCTCAGACTGTGAATGAGGGGAGGTATAAATTAATGTAGCTAAATGAAGCCGCTTATCTTTGCTAGCATTCCTACATAGCCACTGCCAACACTGCAGGAGCCCAATCGAGCGTGGTGTTGAGAGCTGAGGTCATAATAAAGCGCTCTAGAGAGGCCTTCTCTCTGCAGGCCTGCACTATTCTCTCTATACAAGGCCGCTTAGAGCGTATCACATCAGTCAACAAGTACATATGCTGGATAGCTAACTGGAGAGCAGGAAACATGGGAGGTATTTCAGGCTACCAGAACCAGAGGTTCAGATGGGATGGGTAAGATTCATATGTTGAACTATGGTTTTGCTCAGACCTGCTCTGCTACTTTCTGTGGTGTGCATCTGTTATTAGGGCTGCGACGATAAATCGATGCAGAATCGACCGATCTTCTGAATGCATTGCAGTTCTCTCTGGAATTGATTCTGAGTGCAGATTTTAACAGCAGATTGGGCTCTAATCTAGTTTTTATCCGGACACTCAAATGCTCATGAAGAAGAGCGCTTGTGCGTTCAGCTGAGTCTGTAATTTCACCTCGGCTCAGAATGATTTTATGACACGAGATTAATGCAAACACAGCCCACTGTGAACACCCTTGTAATTTGCTTCAAACTTTTCGAATTTTATGAATGATTATTTTAGGTTCAAGTGTGTATAAGGATTTGGAAACAAGCAGAGTACGGCTGTTTCTAAAGCATGCAGTGCCATCTGCTGTTCAAAACTAAGCTTAGGATCCACTCGAGAAAGAATTGCGATGCATTTGGAAAATTTCAGAATCTATATCATTTCTTGATTCGTGATGCATCGATTTATTTTCCCAGCCCTATCTGTTATCCTTAAAAAAATCTCACTATATAGCTGGTCTCCAGCATATGCATTAGATGCTGATGTCCTTAACAAGTACAGTTTTGCTGGTGGAAATCATGGTTCTGGTGCCACCAGCTGGACCAGCACATAAACCGGCCTTAATGCATGAAAAGCATCATATGCATTGTCTATCACAGCCATTACAGTGTTAACAGCAACTCCAGTCAGCAGACAGCATGGCAAACACTCCGTTCTAATCAATCAACACGCCACTAGACATACCACGAGACATTAATTCCTTTCAGGCGAGTACAGCCAGCTCTGGAAAACAAGATCTCCAGGATGGAGTCCAGAGAGGCGCTCCCAGCACACATTTGCCATAAAGCACCTCTGGAGGAGTCACTAATCAGATTGGGAATTCGTGGATGGGGAGGGTGGGCAATTTGTCATAATCCCATCTGACGGTGGAGGTGTGCCATCTGATCTGGCAGTGATTTCATACACCTTCAAGCAGAGCCAGCTGAGTGTCAATGAGGAGGAGACCTAATGGATTGAACTCCTCTGATGTTCTGAGCCAGAAACTTACGCCAAGTAGTGCCTTTTAAAATGCGCCCTCCTTATTTCAAGCTTTTGTGTGCGAAAGGCTTCTTAATTCTTACAAGACCAGAAGGAGGCAAGACCTCGCTTTCCTTTCCTTTCATCTGGCCCTCCTCTCATAGCCTGCTTGTCATTAATCGTAGTTGTCATAAAACAGCCTAATTATTTTGGCTGCAGGAGTGAGACCTGGGGCCCGTTTGCCACACAGTGCCAAACTGGAAGCATCTGCACTAATAGCCAACCAACAATGGTGTTTGAAGGGCACTGTTTCCCGATACCGTGCACAAAATGATTGACTGTCATACACTTACACGTATGACAGACTTCTGAGTGATAAATTACCACAGGAGGGTATTGGAGAGTGAAAGGGAAAGCTGATATGTGATAATTGGTACTTCCACCGAGGGCTTTCCATTGTGTATGATGTGACTGCCAACTGCATAGGGAGGCTTACACAATCGATCAACAGTTTAGATACACTAGTCGTAATGCCAGCTCCAATAAAGCAAACAACTCTGGGATCCCACAAGATCATTACTCAACAACAACATTTATTGCATACTTGTAACACTATATGGTTTAACATGAAGTCTCACGTTGGGTGCTCTTGTGCCCTTCAATAAAGCTTTCAAGGGGTCAAAGTAGTGCATGATATGAGCCTTTTGGCTCCAAAATGACATTCCTTAAGCTCCGACAGGGGCTGTTCCATATGTCAGAACTGCCACCATTTAGCAGGAATGGAAGAAGAGAGACATTTAGGCTTTGCTTAAACCATCACAGTAACAGCAATGTGTCTGGTGACATAGTAACTTCCCAAGGCCCTGAAATTCCCACCTGCCCCATAACTCACTCACACCAGTAGAGAAAACATTCCACCTGCATGAGCCATCCAAACAGACTCACAGGCTCTGAACTTTGAATTTCAGATGAAAATTTTGGTAACTGTCCAGTACAGAGGTCATTTGATAACAATGCACCCAGAAAGCAATGGGTTCATTGTGCACAGGACTGAAAAAACCTCTCTATGGGGTAATGGGAGATGACTTTAGGCTGAATGTTTGTATTAGCTCTGTCCTACAAACAGCGTTGCCTTTTGCTTAGCATTGGCTTTGGAGACGAATTGATAAATGCATGCTGAGAGGGTGAAATGTAATTTTAAAAACACTTTCCCCATTCACAGCCTTGACAGTTTTCACTTTCGGCACGCAAATATCGCAGGTGCCCTACAGACAGGCCTGAGTCGTAAAGACCAACGATTTGTCATGGAGCTTGAGATGTATGGAGGAAATAGCTGAGCTGTTTTATGGCCTCCAATACAATTATTAAAATGAACAAAGCAGACTGCTGAAATTAAGATGCGGTCCTGATGGCTTTTATGGAAAACATATCACAATTACAAATCCTCACAGGCAACAAGAGCAGTATTTCTCCGAAAATAAATTCATTCAGCATCAGTGAGACGGTGCAGAGAGAGCTCTCTTTTAGAAGCAGCCTGGAAACACATACATCAACAAGTGCCGATTAAAGTATTTTTGTGAAAATAAATAAATCATTGTGAAATACTCTGGCTTTGTTTGGAAACTGGGAACAGACCCCCACTTCCTTTCCAATCACGACTAAACATTGCACAGACGCACATCCAAGAACATCAAAACAACTGCAATTTAATGATGGGGCCAAAAAATGAGTTGGAGATTTTTTGACTTCTCCGTCTTCCACACCACAGTTTGCCTTGGTACTTGCAAAGCCATGTTCTGAGAGCAGAGCGCAGCCAAAGACAGCGACCTAATGGGCACTTGCACGGCTCACTGGACATCGATGTCCACCGGGAAGGTTTTTTATTTGTCAAGTCTACACAAGCTGACAGAAAGAGTCCATCTGTAGTCTTCTGAAATTCAGTATGCATGAGCTGTGTTTTCGATTAACAAACTCATCACAACCCTCCCCATCAGCTAAGCAAAGCACTCTACGATCGAGGGGAATTACCTTCAAGAGAAACAGCTCTCACCACATTCATATTCCCAGTCGAGCACTCTGGCACAAGACTGTGGAGAACTTAAACTAACATCTGTAGCTGAGTTAACGTTTATGATATTTAGTTGTAAAATCTCTGCAGTCCGCATTTGCTAGTTAGTACTACAGTATTTGCAAGCTTGAATTCTTTGAATTTGATTGCAAAAGACTGGACACTGCAGTTTAACTTGATGGTGTAAACTGCCTAAACAAACATTTGAATGCATGATAATCACAAAAGTATATGAAGTGAATGTATATTAACCACAAAAGTTTAATATGGGAATCCTGTGACTTCTTAGACTTTTTAAGCTAACTAAAGCACAGATTGTATCATATCATTATTTACTCACAGAAATGTCTTCTCAGCAATAAAACATCCTTCTTTTGGTTTAAAAATGACCTGGATGTTGTTAGGGAAAAGCAAAACATACTCGAATGTGGATCATGTGAATGTCACCACACTGAATGTTTCCCATTAATGTGGACCAGATTCCTCAGTAAACATGGATTGGGTAATGCTCAAGATCTGAGGGACGCCTCTGAATTACTATAGATTTTAAAAAATATATATTTTTTAGTTATGCATCTTAGGGCTTGTATAAGATTGCTTTGTAATCGTCTGTGTCATGTCAGCATGCCAGGCACAGGTAAATGTAATGAAACTCATTACACTGAATGTATGGCTGTTTGCATGTTATTAGTATCCTATCAGTATCCTCCGGTGAAAATGCACGACTACAATCAGTAGTAAACATGACCACCTGCAGCGCCCATCGATTGCACAAGTTCTCCAGCTTCACTTTCTGCACAGTGCACACTTCAGGTTTCTACAAAATGTGCAGAAAAAAGCACTTGGGAAGCCCACAGTGTCCCTTCTATGCCAGTAATTCTTCCCAGGATCTCCTATACGAGCCATCAAAGTGCACACCTACCTCCTTGCAGCGAAGGACTCAGCTGTATAGTGAGGAAGAATCCGAGAAGGAGCAACGCAACCCTCCTGTTAGCCATCTCGCCCCAAAATGCACTGGCCCTCCCCGAATCAGCTGGTTTTATTCTCTAAGAGCTAATTACCACTTCAAAAATGTCTCAAAAAAATGAAGAGGGGAGGAAAAAAGAAAATGATACTGGACACGACGTAATTAGGAAAGGGCAAAGCCTTTGGTTCGATGGATCATTGCACTTTTTTCTCTTCTATGTCTGTTGTTGCTGTTTTTATTCTGGTCACTCCTGCCAAAAAAGCTGAGTGCTGCCAGAGAAAGAAAGAGAGTGAGAGAGAGAGAGAGAGAAATAGAAAGAGACATGCAGGGAGGAAAGTCAGGAGAGAGGGGAGGGAAGAGAAGGACGAGAGAGAACAGGAGAGACAGGGAGAGCGAGAGACACACTTTCCCACTCTCTCGTCCAAGAGGAATTTCACTGTCTTGCCAGACATTTGCATGGACTTTAAGAGGACTTCACTTTTTTATGTGAGCAGAGGAGTAAAACAAAATCAGTACTCGGATAATGATGTTCACTCCGTCGCTGGGTTTCTTCTTTACAACTCACACACATCACATCGATCCTCAAGTAGTTACAACAATTCTCATGCCTGTAAAATGACGAGTGTTTTTTTCCAGTGGCTGCTCAGTCAAGGGAAACTTGACCGATGTCTGTCTAAGAGACTTGGGGGAAATTAAGCCCATTGTTCTGAGAAGGGCATGTCGAATGCTTTGAAATGCATCTGTTACACCTGCCAGGAATAACTGTACTGACACTCATTACACATGAAAGTGTGACTGCTTGCATATTACCTCTAATAAAAGACCTTCGTGAAGCATTTCAAAAATGCACACAAACTTGTTGCAAGCTGAAAACAAAATTAGACATTAATGGGTCGGGTAAAAAAGAAAGAAAGAAGAGCAACGCTTGCTCAAAAGAGAAAAAATCTGGGCATGCTACAAGAAAGCAATCATTTTCATAAATATGAGCATTGTGTGCTTGTAACGAGTGAACGAGAGTCAACAGAAAAAGAGACAATTGATGGGACGGAGAGATGCTCTGGGATGGACAAACTCAGTACAGTTCAGCTACTGCACTCTTCCCAACCCCAATCCTGAGATCACTGCCAACCCTACATTCACAGCGAGTATTTAGCCTGAGTGTATGTGCTTCTCACATACTTATTACCTACAATCCAAAGCAGGGATAGGCAATGTCGGTCCTGGAGTGCCGTTGTCCTGCAGAGTTTCGCTTCAACCCTAATCAAACACACCTGAACAAGCTAATCAATGTCTTTAGGATCACTAAAGCTACAGGCAGGTGAGTTTTGTTTCAGGGTTGGAGCTAAACTCTGCAGGACAGTGGCACTCCAGGACCAATGTTGCCTATCCCTGATCTAAAGACATGTCTCTAGCAGAGACATACATACAGGACTCCAGCCAGTTCGAGATGGCCTGAATCAAAAGGAAAATTAAAACCTCTCAAAGAAAGCTGTATTAAAGCAACACACCCTGCTCTATGTGGCACATACAGTATATGCAATGTGTATTATTTATTCCTTTAACTAAGATGATGACTTATTAGACTGTGACAATTAAGGCTGTTGGTCACATGCAAAATCTCCATGGACTAGGTGATGTGCCACAGTATCGTCCAAAAAAAACAAAAACGTATAGCTTAAGTCCAAGTTTTGTTAGTTTTTTTCCGTCTTTTTCAGGCCTTCAAAGCATGATGAAGATGATTTTCTCAAGGAAGCTTTGTCTCCACAGATTTGAATGGCTCCAGTGTAATTTTTCCCAGAAATGACGTAAGATGGAAAGAAGGGGGTCACATCTACATCCTTGCTGCTAATGAAACAGATAGATAAAGACACACAGACAGACAGATAGACAGAGAGTGGATTTGAGTTTTTAATCAACAAGCCACATAAATGTAAAGATTTTTTTTCCCAACAGAACTTGAACTTAACACCATTTCAGGACATTTATTTACATGTCTGCAGTAGATTTACCCTCTGATACACGGTGTTCACTAGACAGATCTTTAAAAGCCTTTTTAGCCATTCTATACAAACATGATTACACTGTAACACATTTCCACCAACTTCAACTTAAAAACCTTTAGTTTTTAATTGCCTTTAGTTGCTTTCTCATACTTTTATTATCAAACTTGCTGTACAAGTGATTTCATCTTAAATTATATTAAACTGAAAATCTAAGTTGAAATTTGTTAAATAATTTTGTGAGTTAAATGTAATGGGGAAAAAAACAGTCTACTGTAGGGCTGGGCTATCACCAGCAAAGTCCCGATATGATACGTATCACGATACATAGGCTACGATACGATACGTATCACGATACATGACTGTACTGAATTTCACCTCAGCAGAATTGAGAAAAACAGCTGTTTATTAACCACTGCTTACTATAGTGCAATTTCTAACTATTGGCAGATCAGGCAGCTGACCTCTGCATTATGAAGTGCCACTATAACTGTACCACAGTACAATATAGGTAATGGCATATGTTTCATGTTTACATTGTGCACTCCCCACCAGGTACAATATCCTGATTGTTTGCATCTTGTTTTTAAGCCCATAAATAATAATGTACTTGTTCTAATAAATTTATATTGTAATGTACTCATTCTAATATATTTAAAAAATAATTTACATTGCTGGTAGGTTATCATCTAAACTAACGCGCTGTCTTCACTGTATCTAACACACACACGCTCAAGGCTGATTTATACTCGAGCGTCGAACTTTCCGCGCAGCTCCGCTTCCGATGCACGAGTTCAAAGCGACTCTAGCTGAACATGCACGTCTGTGCCAGCATTTGTGTTAAACTGAAGCAGTTTGATGTTAAGTGCAGTCACACACACAGATCACGCTGCGGCCGCACTCAGACATTCAGGAACAAACTTTTTAGCTCTGCCCCGCAGTTTGATCAACTAAATAGCTTAATCGCTCAAGAGCTACATAATCTTTCTCAACAAGGAGCTGGTAGCATCATTGTTTCTAAAGGAATTAAAGCCACAGCTTCACTGTTAATAGAGAAACGCGGCAAAACGGTGGTAATTCATACATACACAGCCTCTCTCTCTCTGTGTCATAAATGAACAGTTGATGAATCACACTTTTCTGAGAATAGATTATTGAAGTGAAGATGCTAAACTGCAAGCTAACCGCTGTTTTCAGAAAGCAAGCGCATTTATCCACAGTTGAGAGAGAGCGTGTGCACATGGTTGCCAGGCTGATAAAGATAAGTAGCACACTTAGCAGATATTTCCGTCTCTTTATATCAGGCAACCCAGTTGTGTTCCTCTGTGGCCAGATTAAACCTTGTTTTAGCCTATATATGCTCTAGTCATTCTTTTTAAAAAACCTTGCAATTTTCTACTCAATGTTAAATGTTGTAAAATTTTAAACAAATTAAGCGCGGTCCACTGCTGCACACGTGCCACAGTATCGATACAGCTGGCCCTCGTATCGTCAAATCTCTGTGACGATACATCGTCGTATCGATATTTTGAACACAGCACTAGTCTACTGTATGTTGCCATGACGTATTGATCATGACTTACTTACAGTGTATACGGTATACTATTATCTTACACCCAAAACATTGTTGCAGAGATGCAAACAGGTAAGGGGGAACAGGGGGCATGCTCCACATGGAATTTTTTTTTAAGATAGTTGTTTTACATCCTGATTTGTAGTTACTTTAAGGTATTTTTAAAAATATTTTTTTTTACCTTATATGTCCAAAACTATTTAAAAAATATAAATAAATAAATAAATAAAATAAAATAAATAATAAATAAATAACATCTTGTTGCAACATTTGACTAAAATCAAGATTTAATATATTTGGTAAAAACGTCTCAGGTTACATATGTAACCATGGTTCCCTGAGTAGGGAACGAGACACTGCGTCCTCTAGGGGTCGCTATGGGGAACGCCTCGTCATGGCCCGTGTCTGAAGCATACATTGAAAAAACACCAACAACACGTTGGCCGGCGACAGCCATGACGTCACTACCGGTGCGACTATAGTATAAATAGGCGCAGGGAGAACACATCATCCACTTCTTCGTCTAAAGCTTGCATCCGCAGCATGGCAGGACGCCTAGAGGACGCAGTGTCCTGTGCCCTACTCAGGGAACCATGGTTACATAAGTAACCTGAGACGTTCCCTTTCAAGGGAACTTTGAACTGCGTCCTCTAGGGGTCGCTATGGGGAACGGTATACCCACGCCACCATGCTGAGGGGAGTGCATGCCAGAACCATGGCGAGCACTAAGTACCAACTCTACCATAGCCATGGGAGTTGCCCCTGGGACGTTAAGACGGCTGTTAGTGACATTATTCCCTATGGCCAAAGAATTCAGAATTCAGAATTCAGAAAGGAGTAGCGTGCTCATAGGTAACCCTTTGATAAAGGGGAGCACTGCTAGACGCTACCACAAGGACAGCCCACGGAGCGAGGAATCCAACTCCTCAGAAGGGAGAGAATTCAAACGCTCGAAAGAAAGCACCATGCTCATAATAACCCTCAATGGTGAGGGGAGCGATGCTTCAAAAGTGTGTCAACAGAGACACACTAGAC